AATCAATGAAAAACACAAATAAAAAAAATATAGAAAAGAGAGGGAAAACAAAATTATAATCAAAATAAGAACGAGGAGAGTACTTAATTTATTTATTTTTCTTGGACTATGTAATGGGTCACACCTAGAACTAATATGGGACAAAAAGTCAAAAAGAGTGCATGGTTGTCCAAGACTCATCTCACACTTCATTGTTGCATCAATACTCCGTACAAATCGCAACCAATATTAATGCTTTGGAATTTAGATAATTAATTTTTTAGTAAAGAGTTGTATAGATTAATCTACATAATTAAAATTTTATCTAAAATACTAACGCTAATGAAAAATATTGTTTCCAAACAATACTTAATAATGATAATATTAAATTTAAAGAGTATCATTAAAAAAATTCAAAACATTAATAATAAATGTTAAACTCGTTACCAAACGGGCATAAAGTTTCGTGCTTTAAATTTAAGACTTCAAAATTTGAAAAAAGAAAAAACAAATTCAAGACTATGAGTAAATTAAAAATGGTTGAGTAATGAAAATAGAAAAATTAAAAATTATTTTCTCCATTCAAAAATATTCTTCCTATTTGACTTTTTACGATTTCCAATATTTCCTTTTGACAATTAATATCTATATTTATACAAAATATATTTTATAAAAATTATTTGATATTTCAAAATAATATTTCGGTAGGAATATATTGATATTAAATTTATATTATCATACAGTATATTTTTTCATGTGTCGAAGTTAAAATTTACCAACTTTGATTAAGAGAAGTCAAATGAGTTCCCGACGAACGGAGTATTTAAAAGAAAAAATACTTTTAATAGTAGATAAAGTTGAACGCGTACAAAATGTGGAACGCCTACCCCAGGCGCCCCGGCCCTACACCCTGGCCCGGCGTGATTGTGAGAGAGGTAAATCATGATATAATCTCAATCTGATTCTTAGAGAGGTCATCCTGTATCTAGTGCGTACAAAAAGTTATTATAAATAATACGGAGTAGAATTCTCACACCGTTCCTACCAGAATTTAACCATAAGATCAACGAACTTGACATATTCTTTTGCATTGATTGAGTTACCAATGCGGGCAAGTGGAATGCGTACAAGATATCGGCATTAATCAACAACCGAACTACTTAGCCACTTTTCTCATGAACTAATAATGGTAAATCGATGTAATCATATACTCCCTCCGTCTCAGAGTATTTGTCAACTTTCATTTTTACACACTATTCAATGCACTTCTTTAATCCATTTTATCTTGTAATTTGTATATTAACAAAATTATAGAAATTATATATTAATAATCTATATGTTAAGACAAATCAAAAAAAATCACTCATGATTATATTTAGGCTTACACATTGAGAGAATTTGATGAGTCAAAGTGCTTAAATGAACAGTTCCAAAAATCAAAAGTGGACGAATATAGCGAGACGGATGGAGTATCTAGTGGTTGACTTGAGTAATGGTGACTTATAAATTTTTACTCCGTATTTCGGAGTGAGCAGGAATTCTTGTTTTTTTTTTTTAGATTTTTTTTTACTTAGTACCAAAATCGTATTCAATTTAAATATGCCTAAAAAACAATTTAGACCAGTTATATTGAGCTTATTAAACTATATATTCACTTTAGCGTAAGTTAGCTCCACAATATTCAAATTGACGAGGTGAATCACTAATTGAACTTAAAATTCAAACTTATAGTTGAATGTTCAAAAAATGTTTTTCTACCTAATATAGCTTCTTAGAGCAACTCCAATCATGGGGCATCTGAAGAGGTAAAATGCTTATAACTACCATTTTTACCTTTTTTTCATAAATATTGCACTCCAATGATAGAGGTATGTGAGGGGGTAAAATACCTTCATCACTTCCAAAGAGGTAAATATACCTTCATTAAGAAGAAGAGGTAAAGGAAGAAAATAAGTGGTTGGCAGGGCACGCGTACTAATGAAGAAGGAATTAATGGCCAAAACCTAACATTTTGCAAGCATTTAAGAAGCCGTAATTCTATGTTATAAAATGTATTTCTTCATCAAATCTTGAGTATCCTTAATCTTGTAAATTCCAAAAAAATTCAATAGTACACCCATTCTCATCTCTTTAACATACAAGTCTAGTGTTTGGGGGAACAACTGAGCTAGAAGGTCTTGGAGAAGGAAAATTAGTTGGGGAGTTTCTTCTCTCTTTTAGTTTCGAAATATTTATCAACTAATTTTTTGCCATTAATTGTGTGGAGATGGATTTTTTTTCTCTTTTACCTTTTGATTTACCTTCCCCCATTGGAGTTGCACAGTTTTTGGGAAGGTAAATTTGATCACTTGGAGAGGTAAATGAGATATATACCTCTCCAAGATACCTCCCACCATTGGAGTTGCTCTTATGTGTCAGATCTATTTAGTCGAGTTTTGTACGTGAAAAATTAATTATTTTATAATTTAGGTGATGGTGATATTCGGAAGGTAAATTTCACCAATGGTACCTGAAATTTAGCTGCAACTTTGAAGTGGTACCTAAACTTCAAATCCTTTCAAAAAAATCTCTGAACTTACACAATCTTTTCACTAAAAGTCCATTTGCCCGTTTCTAGGTTAACTTCCGGTCATTTGGGCCAAATTAGAATTTTATATATTTTAAAATTTTCAATTTGACCCCATTTCTTTTATTCCTTTCTTCCGCTCCCCGCCGCCGTCACACCACCTCAAACTCGCCGGAAAATCAACCTGGTCCGATTCCGGCGAGACCAACGCCATTCTGTTCGTCTTGAGATGAGGATCAAGAATATCCAAACCATTTTTTCCAATCTGACATGCAACTCCTCGAATTTGAATTTTTCCACTCGAAAAAACTCTAAAATCCGAAATGGGGGGTTTTCAAAATCGCCATCAAATCTTGCAATTGAGGGGTCCTTGGAGGTCGCCGAGATGCCACGAACACATTAGAGGGGATGAGCGGCGTCAATTTTGCCGGGAGTGGTCGGAAAACGCCCCGACCCGCCGGAAAACGCCCCGACCCACCGGAAAACGCCTCCTTCCGGCGGGTCGGGGCGTTTTCCGGCCACCTCCGGCAAAATTGACGCCGCTCATCCCCTCCAATGTGTTCGTGGCATCTCGGCGACCTCCAAAGACCTCTCAATTGCAAGATTTGAGGGCGATTTGGATAAACCCCCAATTTCGGATTTTATGATTTTTTCTAGTGGAAAAATTCAAATTTGAGGAGTTGCAGGCCAAATTGGAAAAAATAGTTTGGATATTCTTGATCCTCATCTCAAGACAAAGAGAACGGCGTTGGTCCCGCCGGAATCGGACCAGGTTGATTTTCCGGCGAGTTTGAGGTGGTGTGACGGCGGCGGGGAGCGGAAGAAAAGAGTAAAAGAAATGGGGTCAAATTGAAAATTTTAAAATATATAAAATTCTAATTTGGCCCAAATGACCGGAAGTTAACCTAGAAACGGGCAAATGGACTTTTAGTGAAAAGATTGTGTAAGTTCAGGGATTTTTTTGAAAGGATTTGAAGTTTAGGTACCACTTCGAAATTCCAGCTAAAGTTCAGGTACCATTGGTGAAATTTACCCGATATTCGGACTTGTGATCATGAAATTATCTAATTTGGATGTCACCTAAAAAATTAATTCAATCAAAAGTTTAATCTTATGGTTAAAATTTAAGTAATGGGTATTTTTTTTTAAAGAAAAAATCTCGCTGGATAGGAGTAAAAAAGTATAAAAATACTAAAATACGAGTCCTATGTCTTTTATGACCAAAATAAGGTTATAATGCCAGTATGATAGAAGCATATGCGTTGGTAGTGTGATAAAAAAATGATGACAGTGTAATATATCACTGTGATTAGTCAACCATCAGCGATCCAGGGCAACACTCTGGTGGCTGGCGGCGACAGATAATAGTTTGGCGATACGTGATAGTGTAACCGTTACAATGTGACAATGTAGTGAGTCAGTATAACAACGATAGTGTGAACTCTTATTTTGATCTTAAAAAACTTATGACTCATATTTGAGTGTTTTTATGATTTTTTGCACTTATCTAGAGAGTTCTTCCATATTTTTTTAGTTTGACACTCCGTATTTCACTCATACAGAGTATTAAATGCTTCCTCCATCCCAATTTAATACTTCATCTATCCTTAAACAAACCTTCTAATTGGGTTTCACACAAAATTTATGAAAAATTAAATCTTGTGGAGTTGTGGTTGAAAGTGATGCACATAAGAGAAAGATGATGGGTCATACAAAATTTACCCAAAATTAGAAAGATTGGTATTTTTTGACATCCCAATTCAAGAGGAAATGATGATTGTTTTTGATGGACAATAATCCACCAAATGATCCGATTCAAAAGGCGGATCGTAGAAACAAGATTAAGAATGAGAATTCAAAAATTGGGTGTGTATTATTAGCTTGATTTAGCCTCTTTTTCTTCTTTCGGGTCTCCACTATTTATACATGAGCTCTAAGCAATTTAGGTAATGCATTATCGATGGAATCTATCCCACCAATGGCGCGATCCCTTTTTTCCGGCTCCGTAACCGCCGATCTGCTCCGTCTTCTTCTCCGGATTGGCTCTGCCAGCTACTCTTGGTCTAAAGTTAACCGGGCCTGGCTCCATGGGCCGGCCCAAGCCTGAGTATTTTCCAAGTGCTTGACCTGAAGTTGCGTAAATGGTTCATTTGGGCCGCCCGTTGGATATTGGCCCATCATAAGCCCCCCAACTCCTCAATCCTCGACTGGGCCCAGTTGAGGAATGGGGAGTTTACAAAGTCCACGTGGGCACTCCAGCACGGATCCGGACCGTTTCTCGGGCTCCGCGTGACACTTAGACACGATCTCCACGAATAGGTAATCATGACCTGCCGTTTCGCCTCCCGAGTATCAGTTAAAAACCGCCGCTGGACGCCATCTCTTTCTTTCGCTTTCTTCACCATCATCCGTCTACAATTCCGCTGCTACCCGACCCGTTCTTCTTCCTTTCCAGGTCAGTTCCTTTTCTCGCCGCCATGATTGTTTCAGATTCCGATTCGGCTACCCCATCGTCCAATTCTCGCCAAGCCGATCAATCGGCCTCTGGCCGTAACCCCGGCCACACTCAATCACCCGAGCCGTCACCGTCGGCCGTGTCTGGCCATAAACGGCGTCGATTGAGGAAGCAATTCCCTTCCTCAACCCCGGTAAACGAGGGCTCGAGGGTTGGATTGGACGAAAATATCATGGCGCTGTGCCATTGCCAGATTACTGACCGGGGGTTCGCCGATGCTACTGACATGGTCGGACCTTCCATTGAAGTCATGAGACCTACCAGCACCCAAACCGCCCTGGACGCCCCTTCAGGGTTTGAAGAAGGGGCTGCGCTTCCCACTCCACCCGCTTCTGATCGAATTCCTCAACGTGGTGGACTTTCTTCCGTGTCAGTTGGTCCCCAACTCTCACCGGTACATCGCCGGTTATTTGGTCCGGTGCAAGGTTGTAGGGGTGAAACCAACTTTGGACCATTTCCTATTCACCTTTAAGCTGACCAAGGGCCATAAGGATTGGGCGTCCTATGCCAGCCTTTCCCAGAGGTCCAGTAAGCTCTTTGCTAGTGACAAGAAGGGGTCGACCAAAGACTGGAAACCCTTCTTCGTTTTTGTCTCGACGAGGCCCGAATCTCCTTTCACAGGTTCAGGGCGCCCTTCCTTCCGCCGCATCCCATGCCCCCCACCTGACGCCACCCTTTTGTCCATTACTCGCCAACTCTGCAATAAGGGAGTTATGAACATCAAAGAGGTGGTGACAGAGGAAACCCTTGCCGGGTTGGGGTTTGAGTTTGTTCAGGATGAGCTTCGCCACCAACCCGACCTACTGAGGGACATCCCTGGGGGGCATCAGCCCGTCCAGCTGAAGGACATTCCTGAGGAAGGTCTTGACTGTGGTCCTTTTGGTAATTGACCTTTCCTTTTGCCCAGATGTTTAGTTTATCTTTTTCCAAGGCTGACCATTTCCTTTGTTTCAAGTGGAATTACAAGATTCAGGAGAAGAGATGGACGGCGATCTCCTACTCAGTCGCTTCACTGCAGGAAGGAAGATGAAGAGAGAGGCGAAGGGCCAGGGCAAACGCTCTTCGTCCTACCACGGGGAAGGTCCTTCCCGAGAGCCGGCTGTGATTGTAGTGGAAGACCAGGATGATGCTACCCTGGAAACGGGTGCAATGACGAGCCATTCCTCTCCTCACTCTGTGAGGCCGGGCGGCGACCTCGCTGGGTCGTCACAAGGTGTCGCCTCGGAGCGACCTCCTTCGCCTCCCGCGGTGACCTACGAGGTGGCGACCGGGGGTCGCTCGACGAGGCTTTGCATTCCTCCTCTGCCCCAAAGCTTAGGGGACGTGCAACTGGAGACCCTGATCACCCTGCCCGCGGAGGACCATGCCCGCATCTCGGCCGGTTCTGAGGACGACCTTGATAACATGGTCCTCTTGAGGCTAAGCCAAGTACTTGCACTGATTCTCTCTGCATTCCTCCTTTTTTTTTACGTTCTTAACCCCCATGCCCTGGTGCAGGCTACGCTGGGGATGATCGAGGTGCTTGGCAGAAGACGGGGTCACCAAGCTGCCTTGGGCGAGGCGTTGAAGACATCGGAGGCCAAGCAGAAAGAATTGCAGGAGGAGGTCGCCCGACTCACAAAAGAGCTGGGGGAAAAGGAAGATTGTTGGGCGGCGCTTGCTGCAGAGAAAACTTCCAAGGAGAACCGCTGCGCCGCCCTTGAGGCAGACAAGGCTTCCTTGTCCCTGGAGGTAGATTCTGTTTCTGCTCGCGTGGTCGAGCTGGAAGGGGAAAAGTCTGACCTGATCCTGCAGTTGGAAGTGGAGAGGAGCGACCGGGTCCGCCATGCAGAGGAAGCGGTAGAATCCTTTAAGTCTTCTCCTGACTTCACGATGGTCGCGATGGAGCAGATGGAAGAGCTAACAGCCGCTTGGCTCAAAACCGAACCTGGGGCTCAATGGATGGTCAAGGAGGGGACCAAGTCCTTCAATTGTGGACTCTTCCGCGCCCAACAGGTCTTCCGCGACAGACTGGCTCAGCTCCCCAAAGGATTCTCTCTTCCCGACCTTGGCTTCCCTCCTCCCTGTCGTTCCTTGGCCGAGTTTGACCCCAGTCCTTATCTGGACGGGGGGAGCTCGAGTGCGTCGGAAGAAGAGGAGGAAGAAGGAGTGGAAGGCGGTCAAGGCGACCAGGATCCGGGGACCAGCTTAGCCACATCCAAGGCAGGTGGAAATCCTAGCTCGAGCGCCTAACCTCCCGTGTTGTTCCCCCAGAGTTTTGTAAACACTTGTTGTTTTTTCCTTTGAAATGACTTGTTGTTTTGATACAATGTCCACATGTTACTTGACTCGTTGGATCCACTATGTGCCTTCCTTTTTCAGCGTTTTACTCTCTTCTCTAGTGTAACTAATTCGCATGTATGTTTTAGTTTGGGCCCAACTCCTAATTCCGGCCCGTTTTATCTGTCCTGGCCCAATCTCAGGATTGGCCAACGTGCCGCCCAACTGACCCAATGCCTTTCACAATCTCCGATTGGACCTTCGCGCGGCTCAAAGCTGCTTTATCGGTTCAGCTGCCTTGAGACTTGACCGTCTCTTCGGTTCCTTCGCCTGGGCCTATTTATAAGCCCCCCTTAGCCTTCACTTTGCTCTATCACCAAATATTTTCCCTTTCTCCATCATCGTCATGTCTGAAGGACTCCCTATTTCTCTGAATCTTTCCGACGGGCCGGCTCCTTCTTCGCCGGAGCCTGCCTCCTCCCCACAGTCAGTCGGGGGGGCTAGACCCTTACGAATTCTGCCGCCGGTTGCCTCGCCGGCAGTGGCCGTCGGTAAAACTGCCGCCACTACCACCAAACCCTTATGCTTGTTTCTACGATCCGCCTTTTGAATCGGATCATTTGGTGGATTATTGTCCATCAGTTTTTTTGAGAGAGAATTTGTCTTTATTTTTTTAGTGACGTTAAAAAAATTACTTCAGTATCTTTTCACTTTTGGAAAAAAGTTTTTATACCTCATAGTTTTCTATTTTCTTTTTCATCACTGTTGGTTTTACATTTTTATTGTTTAAAACTCACTACATTGAAACAATTGTAGACTACACATTATTGAACTTGCCTTCTCCCTTCTCAAGCTAGCCCCTCCCAATTTCGATCACGTGAGAAAATATAAATTTACTTTGATAACAAATAAGTAGTAAATAGTAGAGCATGCACATAGTATATAGTCTCTATACTTAGCATAATTTTTTCTAACGTAATTAGAAATCAAAATCAAGTGTTATCTCCTAACTGTGTTTCCAACATATTCAATAATTTCTTCCTAGCACAGTCATAAATAATGTCTTACTAACTATGCAACGATTACCGACAAATCAACCACATCCAAATAACATGTACTCGGTATAGTATCTTTACTTATAATTCTACTAATTGGTAATTTTTTATACACCTTGGTTCCCATGACATTGGTTTCCATTAGAAACCAATGTCATGGGATGACCCGGGGGCACTCCGGTGCCCCGTTCGTAAAATTGACGGTTCCTACCCCTCCTAACCCCCCGGTAAACCCCCCCACCCTGCCCCGACCCGAACGCACCCCCCTACCCCGGGTCATCCCATGACATTGGTTCCCAATGTCATGGGAACCTTGTCCTTTTTTATATATTTAGTTCGTACTCATCAAATGCTTCTTCGGTCTCATAAAATCCTTCTTCTTTCGATTTCATTCATCCCAATTCCCAAAAAGTATTTCTCATTTATATTAAAAAGTTACTTTCACTCCTACTAATTATTAACCTATATATCATATCATACTTTTTCACTATTAATCTATCCATCGCAACCAAAAGCATTCTCATTAAATAATTTAAAAGTCAAAAAACAAAAAAATTCTCTAAAACGGAGGGAGTATTACAAGCATAGTCCCTATTTCCTTAATTCATGGGTGGTCTGGAGGGTGTGCAAAGTGGTCAACCGCACAGGGTCCTTAAAATTTTAGGGCCCCATAATTTTAAATTTGTTAATAATTTTAAAGGAAAAATATTCTAAAAAAATAAAATAGGACCAAAATATAAATTTTGGACCGGACTAATTTTATTTTTTCATTTTCAGGACCGGTCCTGCCTTAATTCCTTACCATGCTCAGTCATTCTTCACTCGTCTAGTTATGAACCTTTGAACGGCCAGTCCCTCACCCCCACTGTTCAATTAATTAAACATTTAGGTCATCTTCTCTTCACTTTATCTGATTAGTTCTTATTTGATTGGAATATGTTTTGATCTGATTTAAATATAATTATATTAAAAAAATATTTCTGATCTTATATAATTTCAATAAGAATAAGTGATAAATAAAAAAAAGTTGAGGAGAATATGACATTAAACCTCCATCAGTCGTCATATTCAGCTTTATTTGCATGGTTAGAGTATTGTAAAAAAAAAGGAAGAGATGATAATTTTTGGGTTATGCAATAATGAAGGCGAAGGCTAACCTTTGGATTTTGAATTTGGATTTTGAATGGTAACTGTGGATAGTGCAAAGGTATCAAACAAAAGCCCACTAGACTAGTAACATTTGATAACTAAGGAATAAGTCAAAAAAATTTCTATTACTACATACTACCTCCGTCTCATTGTCTTTGTCCAGTTTTGACTTTTGAAACTGTTCATCTAAGCATTTTGACTCATCAAATTCTCTCAATGTGTAAGCCTAAAAATAGTCATGTGTGATCTTGTTTGATTCGTCTTAACATATAGATTATTAATATATAATTTTTATAATTTTTTAATATACAAATTACAAGATAAAATGGATTAAAGAAGTGCATTGGATGGTGTGCCAAAAGGTAAGTGGACAAAGACAGTGAGACGGAGGGAGTAATAACTTTAATAAATACTACTGTCTTTTAAAAAAATGAGAAAAAATTAAAATAAAAGTAAACCCAAAGAAAAATATCAAAATATAAGCTTTATTTTTTATCACTTAAATAAAAGTGCAATACCAATAATTTAATGTTAATATATAGTTGCAAAAAAAGTGGGATATCATTATATGAAATTTGCACTAAATAAGACTAAAACATAAGTCATTTTCTAATGTAGGACTTAAAACTTTTTTATTATCTAAATAGGACTTAGTAATGTCTAGTGAGAGCAATAATGTCCAGTAATAATGAACATTTAGTTGAATAATGACTATTTAATAATGACCAAAGGTCCTACATTGAAAAATAAAAACATATAGTCCTATATTGAGAAAGTCATTATGTTTTAGTCCTATTTAGGTAAATTCCCCCCAGCATAAAAAAACACGATAAAGAGAGGAGGATATGATGATTCACCTCTAATAGATGGGGCCCGATGGGGTATCTCCTTTTGGCATTGACTAGTACATCCCCTTGTCCTCTCTATACCTTCGTGCCACCACTGTTCATTTTCTGTAGGTTATTATCGGAACAATAATGATACGCGTCTTTCACGTTGCGTATATTCGCGATTCCGCTTTTCAATTTAAATTACAATTTCTCGCGATATATCGCCGTCTTGTCCTTCGCGATATAACGGAACTATTTTTATCGTGGCTTGATGACGAGAATCCAGCTTGCGGTGGGTCCCACTTTTCTCGGTGGTGACGGACGGCACCGAGTCTGCCGTGGCCGCGCGCGCTACTGTTTAAACGCCGGACCCACCTCTTATCCCCGGCTCGGCTCGGGCGTTTTGACTCGGTCTAGCTCCCGTCGGCCACCTAATAAACCAAAAAACTTAGGGTTGGGAATGCGACGTAGCTGGTCGATTGAGGCATTAAAAAAGTGGGACCTTGTTATAATAACCTCAAGAATAAAAAAAATTATATTTTCTCCGTCTTAAAATATTCTTTTTATTTTATTTTTCTTCATCGAAATTTTTTAAATTTCTATATATATAAAAAAAATATAGTGTTTCGGTCTAAATATAATATCATTAGTTTTTTTAATAAAACATTATTTTGAAATATTACATTTTCATAAAATTTATTCATGTATGAGTATATCTAGTAATAGTCAAAATGTCACATTAGATATCGTAAAAAGTAAAATAGGTAAATCATTTTTAAATGAAGAGAGTAATTTTAATTTTCGGAAGAGGAAGTGGTAGAAGTTGGACACAAACTAGAAGGGAATCAGAGTAGATTAAGTTAGATTAAAGTTTGATGTTTTATCAAACTATATTATCCTATAGAAAAAAATGGATGAACTTCATCTTCCGAAAGCTCCCTCAAACCCGGCCAGATGATTACTAAGAGAAGGTTAATTTGAATTTGATCATAGATTGGTGGTAAATAATAAAGTCTGCTCCTAATACTTGCAAAGGTCATGCTTAGTACAATTGCCTCCCAGCACAGTTACAAGAATCAAATTGGGTCTCCACTCTTCGTATTTGTCAATCGCGCAATGCCAACCGATATCCTATATGTGAAATTTGCAGTGAATAGGGTCAAACTTCACGTTCACTATTCACAGGGCCAAACTTTATTCACTTTATTGGCCTATTTTTGTCACTATTTGATAAAATAATATAATCATGTCACATCGAGTTTTGTAGATCTTTTGATATAGTTTTTTAACATGTACTCCGTAATTTTTCTTTTTAAATTTTACACCATTTTTCATATAAAATAATTTGAAAATAACTTCAGTCAAATATCGTAATACGCAACGAAAAAATTTATTTGTAGACAGAAGGAGTATAAAAAAGATGAGAGGTAATGATGTTGTCGCTTTGCCCAAAGCGGAATAAACGGAATAATACATTTCACATGATATGTTACAATTAGTTGCGTCTACTTTGACTAATTAACCCATTCCCATCTTATTTCAGTGTCCATTTCTCTAATTCATTTGAGTTGACAAATTATTCTCTTTAATACTCCCCCTTTCCAATCTTCCATTCACAAATACACCTTTCGTAATGCTCACAAATTAATATTCTCATTTTTCTTTTTTATTAGTCCTAAAATAAATATTTTCTTTGTTCTGAAATCATTCTCACGTTATGCCAAATAAAGTAAAATTTTAAATTTTTCAATTAACCTTATTTGAAAATTTAAAAACTACGTCAAAAACTTAACCTTATTTTAAAACTTATTTGTATTAAACTTATTTAGAAACTACGTCAAAAAGTTTTCAAAACCGAATGTGACAATAATATTTTATTTTATCAAATAATGAATGAAAATATGAAAACGTAAAAATAAAAAATATTTTTGTGATTTTTAAATAGTGAATTGTGATATTTTTTTGGAACCGATGAAGTATCTTATTTCTTTACTTGTCTAGTTTGGTTAAGAAACTTGTAGATTATAATCTTTCTCTCTTCTCTAATCAACCTTCAACCACTCATTTTTAGCTT